TCCTTCCTTCCTTTCTTTTTCCCCCCTGTCCTGGGGACTGAACCCAGGGTCTCACTCATACTACACAAGTGCTCTAACACTGTCACTGAGCTGTTTTTCTAGCCCTGAACTACTTACAATGCTTTGCTTTTTTCTTCCCCCACAGCACCCAGTTTGGCCCTCTCTGAGGTCAGTTCCAGCTGGGGGAATTCCAAAACCAGAGCATGCTTTTTGAGAAGAAAGGAGAGTTTCCTTCAATTTAGCAGTGGCAGGGACTTTGTCCTTCCTCTGTGTTGCTGAGATACTGTACCAGTTGTTTCAGACCCCTGCCCTCCAGGTATCCTTGGCTTTCATCAAAGGGCTGAAGATGGAGGGTTTGGAGCCTGGCAGAAGGACTGAACAGCTCTGGAGAGGCAGGCTCTGCTGAGGGGAGGGAGAGAATGAACTTGGTTGGCTAGAAGGGCCCAGAGGAAGTTGGCTGAGGCACTGTGGTGGCCTCAAGCACTTCATCCATCAGACCCTTCATATGGACAATGTGCTTTGTGATTGAGCTACTGAGAAGAATCACAATGATAAAAACCAATGCAAATGATTCCATCAATAAATAATGCCTAAATAAACATGGTTTGTGAAAGTCATTCATTCTTATGCCCTGCCTGAGGGGTAAGTGGAGTTTGGGTAAAGAATCCATAGTTTGGAACTCCTGGAACAACTGTAGCACCTGGAGGGAAGCCTCATGGTGACTCTGCGTGCTGGGCTATTGTTGGTCTTGGGAACATACAGCAGTAACAGGTTGGAAGTGAGGTCTGAGCACAGATCAGGGATTTGAACCAGTGGTTCTTCTTTCCACCTGGGTATTAGCATTGGTCCTTGCAGGGCCTTACCATAGGCCTCCTAATTCCTCATGGAGTGTCTTTTTTTTTTTTTTGGTTCAGGAGAATGAACCCAGGGGTGTTCAATCACTGAGCTACATCCCCAGCCACTCCCCTTTTTATACATTTATTTATTTATTTTTATGTGGTGCTGAGGATTGAACCCAATGCCTCAAATGTGCTAGGCAACCACTGAACTACAACCTCAGCCCCTCAGCCCTTTTTTTGTATTTTATTTAGAGACAGGGTCTCACTGAGTTGCTTAGGGCCTCACTAAGTTGCTGAGGCTGGCTTTGAACTCGTGATCTTCCTGCCTCAGCCTCCTGAGCCACTGGGATTGCAGGCGTACACCACTGCGCTCAGCTTGTGTGTCTTTTTCAAAGGTGATGCTGCAGTAATGCCAAAATGGACAACCTCTGATTTAATTCTTGGTCTGAAATGTGAGGTTTGAACACTTTTTGGTTACTATTGTAAGATTTGATAAGTTGGTCTTAAAAATCATTTGGTTCTGACCTCTGACTTCTGGTCTCTAGGGATCAGCCTGGACTCAGCCCCTGTCTCCTTTCCTCAGCTACCACAGGACTTTCCTTATTCTCTGCACCTGCTTTTCCCCACATTGAGCCATTCAGGGCCCAAATAAAGAAGAGATCTTTTCCGCATCTCTGATTTCTGATCCAGTCTCAAGCAGGGCTACAATTTTGAATGATTCCTCAAGCCTTCCAAGTATTGGGGCCCTCTCATGGCATTATGAGCTCTTTCTTTTATACCAGTTTTTCTTGTTTAACCATAAAGAAGAGTCATTGAGAGTTTTCTTTTTGTTCTTGTTTAGCGACAGAGCCCTGTTTGCTCTAAATAAGGAGTATGTCAACATGCGTATAGAAGGTGCTATCCTGTCCAAGACATACCAGGGACACATATTGGCACTATAATTTGACTCTGGAAGGACTCTTCATAACCAGAGTGTTTATGGGGAAGAAGTGGTTTCATTTCTGGCCACCCTCCACATGTTTTTCTTTGGGTTAAGGAGCCCCTTTTATAAGGTGGGGGGGGCAGTAACTGGGGATTGAACTTGACCACTGAACCACATCTGCAGTCCTTTTTTGGTATCTTATCTAGAGACAGAGTCTCACTGAGTTGCTTAGTGCTTTGCTTTTTGCTGAGGCTGGCTTTGAACTTGTGATTTTCCTGCCTCAGCCTCCTGAGCCATTAAGGGGCCCTTTTCTACTTCCCTAAATGTATGCATTGGACAGTGGCCTTCAAGATACAGAATCACTGGAATAAGAGCTGGAGGGTGGGCTGGACAGCTTATCCACGGCATCCTCTCAGGGTACTTTGATTGTGGAAGTGTGAACACACCCAAATTTGAATTTGATTCCATTTTGGGTTCAGCAGTTTAGTCTGGGGAGGAGGAAGAGGAAACCTACCTGTCTCTCAAAAACCTTCTTCTCATACCTAGGCATGAATTTGCTGCTGAGGGTGGAATCCATGGTTGTCAAATACCAACTTTGCTTAAAACTAAAACATTCCTGTAGGAGACCATGGAAAAGATTAACTTGTTTTCTAATGTCATTTTCTTACAAGGAACTGTCTATTAAATCCAGGAACATAAAGGTGGACGGTGTAGGGAGTAGGCTTCAAAGTCAAATGGTTTGGTTCAAATCTAGGTTCTGGCTCTTACTCGTCAATACTGCAAAGTTTTTTTAGATTCTCTGAGGCTGTTTTCCCTATGCAGATGCTTCTTGTCTGAGATGTGGTTACATCCATTATAAATTGAAATTATCATCAGTTGAAAATGCATTCAATATGCATAACCCACAGAATATCATAACGTAGCAACACTGGAAGATGAGTTGTTCCCCTTTGGGATCATGTGGCTGACTGGAAGCTGCAGCTTGCTGCCATTGCTCAGCACTGAGAGAGAGGATCTTACCACAGATCGCTAGCCTGAGAACAGATTGCAATTCAAAACTCAGAGTATGGTTTCAATCCGAATGCATATTGCTTTTGCACCATTGAAAAGCTGAAAATCATAAACTGAACTATTGTAAATTGGGGACTGTACATGTAAATTTGGGACTGTAGGATTTTTTTCTCTCTCTCTTTTGCAATTACTAAATGAGATAGCTTAGACAACAATGCTGGTCTGAGCCCTCAGTTGGATTTATCTTTTCCAGCTCTTGCTATTCAGAAACGGGTTCTTTCTTTTTTAATGCCATGCTAGCCAGTCTGTGCCATTAATAACAAAATTGAGCAGAATGGATGACAATATCTTCTGGTGACTCAGTGCCCCTCTCCTTTTGATTTTTATTTCTATGGGCAGGAAACAAACTCAGACACCCAAGTCCCTCTAACTCAAAGAGAGAGTTAGGAAGCTGAGCTTAGGCAAAGGGTTCAAGGGGTGACATTCTGAAGGGCAGGAAAACTGCTGGAAAGGGATCAAGCTGGGTCCCCTGGTGTAGGAGATCCTTCAGCAAGTGCTTTTGTTACTTGAATTTGCAGTATGTTAGGTCCCTAGAACACCAGATGCTCCCATATTTGAAGGTTTCCAGAAGCACACAGGTCCTTGCCAAGAGAAAGCCCGGAGGGGGTGGGCCGCCCATGAATAATGCAGGATCTAGCAGCTCCAGAATTTGGCTGTTGAAGGCTGGCGGCACAAGCCTGTGATCCCAGCTACTTGGGAGCCTGAGGCAGGCAGATCCAGTGATTTCTAGGCCAGAGAGGAAACAGAGTGAGACCCTGCCCCCTTAAAAAACAAAAACAAAAACAACACCAAAAAAATGAGCAACAAAACAAAAACCCTCAAACAAACAGAATGTTGCTACTGGAATTGGAAATAGCCAGCCTGTCCACTGGACTAGCAGATAGACTGTCCTTCTTCTTCTTTTTTTTTAAACACTTATTCTTAAGTTTTAGGTGAACACAATATCTTTATTTTACATTTATGTGGTGCTGAGGATCGAACCCAGTGCCTCGTGCATGCTAGGCAAGCAATCTACCACTGAGCCACAACCCCAGCCCCTAGATGGTCCTTCTTTAGGACCCTGCCAACCCTTTGTCTCTCCCTGTTCCTTGTAACTCCACTCCTTTTCCCATTTTGGCTCCGCAGTGTGCTCACATTTTCTACACTGGAAATTTCCTTTTGTGAAATACCAGCTCTGTGTGTGTGTGTGGTTAGAGGGGCCCATGCTGACACGGAATTAGTGGTTTCTGAGAGCTGAGGAGCCCTAGGCTGTAAGTTGCATTCCAACACAGACCAGTAAGCCTCTTCCTAAGTTGAAAGAAAGTTTCTCAGAACCACTGACCTTCTGACCAGCTGGTTTGCAGATGTGGTCTAGGCTTCTTTAAGGGAGGTCAGGCAATTCATGACCACTTCTGTAAAACCAGACTCTCAAAACATCTTTTTTTTTTGTTTTTTTAATCAAAAATTAAAGGAACTCAGAGTTTCTCCCAAAGCTAAGACCTTTCTTCCATTTTGTCAGCACTGGTATTTTTCCTGTGCTGGAACTATGTTTCTGGCCTTCTGGGTTCGGGTGCTATCTTGTCTACCCATCCATATATCCTCCCACTTTTATTTTTTTTTAAAATAAAATCTTCTGCTTTATATATCTTGTCTATCCTGCATTTAAGCCTTTGCTCTTGGTGCATTCTTGCCTGAGCTGCCCTTTCCCTTCTTGCCTGCCCAAGTCTCCGTTCAAGTCCTGCCTGGGTGATCTCTTGAGTTTTTTGCACCTCCCTCGATATTTCTTCACTTGATCAGATTTTTATCTTCTGTTGTCCTCTATTTGTTTCATAGATGTGGCACTTTATCTTCTCTCGAGACCTTAAGCGCTTAGAGACCCTGCTTTAGGTGTTTTCTGTGACTCTTGCAGCCTCTGCCTCTACAAGGTACAATCCTTCTTGAATAGAAGTCCTAGGGAGTGGAGTGGAGCAGCCTGCAAAGGAAGCCTCTGGACCAGTTCCCCCACACCCTGGCTAGGTAGGGTCAGGCTGATGGAATTTCTGCCCTTTCCTGGGTCATGACATAGTCATTGCTCATTCTCTTTCTGCTCAGGGACCCTCAGAGGCCCAGCCCATACTCAGAATGAAGTTGGAAAGTAAGTTGGGAAATAAATAGTGACAATACTCTTTGATCCTGTTAGCATGGCAACTCCTACAACACCAGGAGAACTTAGTTCTCTCCCTGCAGACAGGATTGCACTCATCATGATGTACTGTGCCTGAATTTGTACACTTATTTCCTTGTCTAGAAAGTGAGCACTCATGGGAAGCTGTTTCTCAATCATTTCCAGGTTAACATTTTCTAGCCCAGTATTAAGCACATCGGGCCATTAAATAGGCATAGTAATCCCTTTTATCCCTGGTTTTGCTTTCTGCAGTTTCAATTAGCCACAGTTAACTGTGGTCTGAAAATATGAAATGGAAAATTCCAGAATAAACAATTCATAAGTTTTAAATTGAGTAGTGTGATGAAATTTTTTACTTTCCTGTTTCTTCCTAGGAAGCATACATGTGATTCCCTTGTCTATCAAATCCATGATGTGTACGTGACCTGTCCATCAGTTAATTAGTAGTTTTCTTGGGTAGCAGATCCACTGCCATGGAATTCACAGTGATTGTACATAGGGTTTGGTGTTATTCGTGGTTTCAGGCATCAGCAAGGGTCTTAGGATGCATCTTCCACAGATAATGTGAGACTACAATATCTGAACTTGTTGAATGAGTGACTTGATTTATAAATGAGTAAATGTAC